TGAGAATATGAAACACCTATTACTCTTTAAATAAGATATATAATTTTTTCTGTTTAGTATGGAAGAATAAACAGAATCAGATTTCATAAATAAAAGTATATCTGGTTTTAAAGTCTCACAAACGTATATCTAAGTCCACCCGAAACTCTGAATCGGTGCTGCCACCAATATATAACGAATCACTCATATGATAAAATACCCATTCTCTAAAGAGCTCATTTATGAATAAGTTTCAAAATAAATCTCAAATATCCTTTAAATATTGAGAATTTTTGAACCCCTACACAATCTTCGAAAGGTGCCACCATACGTCCTCCAACTCGAAGCAACCTCAGGAGAGCCAAGAGCTGAGCATTTGTCGTCAGACCAGCACCAACATAGATGCGATCGTAAGTCAGCCAGAATTCTACGGCTTCAGCATCAGAATCACCTGCAAATTAAAAAAAATTGCTTGTGGTAAAAAGGTATTCCTAGTCTTTAAACCACCATATTTGATTTTATAAGAATTAGTAAAAAGTAACCCTTAGGATACTATGAAAGATGACTAGATCACTGATAAAATCAAATCACGTGAAACGGTATGAGCGCAAGAGTAAACTTAGTTATCACTAAACATAGAGCTAAATGAAAATGGCTGATTGATCATTCAGGTTACTGTAATGACCTAGTCACTAACAACAAAATGAAATGTGCTTCCAAAATTGTTCTGATTTAAGCAATGACCGGATGGAAGTTAGCTGAGATAGAGAAATATGTAAATGCGACTAAGAATATCATCAAGTGTGAAAATGTAGAAAAGCAATATAAGATTAAGTAAAACCAATGGGTCGTGAATAAATCAGAATTCGAACAAAAAAGAATAGGTAAAAATTGATGTTACAATAAACTGTCATTTTTGGTAGTCATGAAACCCAAGAACTCACAATTAAGCAAACTATTTTCGGTTTGGTGAGACCTAGGCCTTAGCAATGGAGGCGGCTCTACCTCCATTATTCTGGGTAGGATGGAACTGCCAGGTAAATTTACTATCTCGTAATGCTCTTCATCGGTGGTCTGATTTTCTGAATTATCCGAGCTGTTTGGTGCAAAACGCTCATCTAAGCTGTTACGTTGATTATCTGCAATCCTATTAAATGAATCACATAGACTATTGTCACGCTTGGGTGTATCTTTGGTTAATTCGTTTTCGATTTGCTCATCTTCTTTAGGTTCTAATGTATTTATTTCAGTTTCATCCTCCGATCCTGTAGTGGCTTCGTTCATTCTAATTTGAGGGACGCCATTTACGAGTGCTGGAACTATTGAATCAAAGTGATGATGGAAAGTAATCAAAATGTTATCGAGATCAGTTTCATCATCGTTATCATTTTCGGTATCGCCAGGGTCATTCTCTTTGACTGAGATATTCCCTGCGGGGGGGACTAGATTAAATATATTGCCGGTAATGAAATATGGAACACAGAATTCTCTTTCATATGGAGCGTCCGAATTAGTGAGAAAATTGTTCAATTGATTCCGAGCAAAGGACACATTGGACACAATATGCTCGATTCCATGATTAATACCATTAGGTCCTAGATATACCAAAAGTAAAATAAAAGATTAGATACAAAATAATCTAGAAATATGGATGGAAAATAAGAATGCATCAGGTCGCAGTTGAGGATCATTCAAAACATGAACGCGGCCAATATGAGGATGTACCATATAATTGAGCTCAAAGCGGATCGAAGAGTAATGACAGCACTCGAAAAAATTTATTATGAAAATTAAAAGTAAGAATAGGTGCAAAATTACGATTAAAAAATACAATTGAAACCAAATTGACAAGTAAGCCCACCGAGAAGAAGTCCTGCGATAGTGCTGAGATAGCCAGTCCCGCTACCAATATTCAAAAAGCTCTGTCCTGGACGTAAATCAAGGTGATATATGGCAGAAGCATATATCGATGGAGCGGAAAGATGTAGATAGCGCCTTCGAAAGGCTACATCGCAATATATATCAAAGTTGTCTTCAGGATCGCAATAGGTGCCTCTATCTAATAGCCGAAATGCTCTTTCAGTATCATCTGTAAAGTCTGCGCCACTATCCTTAAGGATATCAACCAATGACTGGTTATCATGGGCACGGCAATGCACTTGACCCATGGGGACTACCGGTAGATGACAAGGGACTTAAAAAAGGCGCCAGCAAACCTAGCCGATTGAATCAGTAAAAAGTCTTCCTTTGCATGTTTAAGTTTATATATTCACGTAATTTATTTATATATAAAGTGAATTGTGTGCTAAGAAGCTGTTTAATCTTGTAATCATTGCTACACAAAAGTATTTTTAAGCAATTAGCTTATTTAATTTTAATTTAGCTTATAAATTAGTTATCTCTATTTAAAGTATTCTGAGCATTAAATTGAGAAAAATTCAGCCATTCTCCTCTCTATATAAATTAATTGGAATGGAAGCATTCTACTGCAGTCGTTGCTATATCGCTTTATAAATTCAAACGTTTAGGAAATAAGCTTTACCGTCCAACTGAGCAACCTTAGATAATTTCAAGAAGAGCAGAGTATTATATCGGAGTTCTTTAATATTTCCTACATTATCTTAAATAAGGTAGATTTTTGTCTTTATAAATTTGTCTAATTTATGACACTCCTTAAATAAATATAACATTAAGTTGTAATGAAAAACAAGAGCGTTTACTGAATTAGCGTAGTCTGTTTTTGAAACTAATGACAGGGAGACCTTGTGGAACATGCCTGGCCCTACTTTTTATACTACAGCATTAAGAATAATTTCGAGCATCAGACTTGTTGTCGGCCTAGTCAGTGAGAAGTACCCTTCCTAGCATGGAGTAATAAAGTGAAAAGTGAAGGCAATCCTCTTGATCTATTTTTTATTTAATCACTTTGGTATCTTCTCTCCACCTTGTTATAGTGTTTAGCTAAGCATCCTTATCCCTTAATTCCATTTGGCCTTATTCATTTACCTATTTACACGTAATTGTGACTTAGATATGAAGACAAAGATTGTGTGGCCTTTTGTGTGGTCGCAGTCTCCTTTC